TTGGCTGGTGGTGGGCCCTGTTTTCTACTCTCTTTTTTGCTTTTCACTTTCTTATTTATGTTTTTATTTTTTCTTCTTTAAGTTAATTCAGGATTTTGAAATAAATTTCGAAAAGTTGCGAGCTTTATTGAGAAGTCATAAAATATTCATGATTTCAAAATATTGTTTGCATACCATAAAAAAAATCGGAATATCAAATCGATGTTCAAGAAATAAAAAATCATGTTTTTTTAAAAATAATCCAGTATTCCAAACATAGTCTGAACTAGAAAAAAATGTACATGCCGCGCCTCCTCCTCCTGCACGTGCTAATGGGCCGGCCCATATGTGGCTGGTGGCGCCCTGTTTTCTATTTCGTTTTTTGCTATTTACTTTTTTAATTCCTTTTTTTTCATTCTTTAAATTCATTCGGGATTTTTAAAAGAACCAAATTTCAAAAAAGCTGCGAGTTTTATTGAGAAATCCTAAATTGTTCATGATTTCAAAAAAAATTCGCATATCATAGAAAAATAAATCACAATATCAAATAGATGTTCATGAAAAAAACATGATTTAAAAAATCCAGTATTCAAAACACATTCTGGAATTAGAAAAAAAATATACATGATTTTTTTGAAATGTTTCCAAAATTAAAACAGGCCCGTAAATGATGAACAAAATCAAACATCGCCTGCGTAGAAGTTTTAATAAGGGATCTCTAGAGGTCGATTTATGATTTTATTTAATCCTTCGCATCGGGTAAAAAAAGGCTTCCATGTTTCGTACAACGCTGAACCCAAAAAATATTGACACAACTTTCTATGGGTTAGTTTTTGTAAACTATATAAAAATAACTAAATGTCTATTTTGCCTTCATACACAGCTATGTTTATTCTGGTACCACAGTAATTGTTATGACAACCACCGCTACGTTAGGTCAAAATGATATACATCATTCATCAGTCTAGCTTAGGCAGGGTCCATCAATGCAGTTTGCACCTTAGGAAATCAAATCATGGTCAAACCATCCCATTTTTTGTTTTTTGAAATGACTTTTCAAAAGACTCTTATCTCATCATGACATCACTTAGACATGGTTTTTGAATTGACATTTTAGAAGCCCTTATCTCACCTTGGCATTTTAATAGCCATTATCTACCACTTCTGCATAATTTGATAGTTTTTCTCCCGTTGCAACGCACGGGCATATTTGCTAGTAAAGAATTAAAGAAAGAAAAAATAGCAGTCCGCAAAGGAAAAGGAAAAGAAAAGGCTGCGACGCGTCGGTCTCGGTCACCGACCCGATCTGACCCCAAACGTACCCAAACCCCAGAGAACCCGCGGCGCGCTGAAATACGTACCCCGGCCGCTTCTCCCCTCATCGTCTTCCTCCGCCGGGCCCTTTCCCTCGCCCGCGCCCTCCACATCGCCATAGGAGCCTTCCAGATCGAAGCCAGGGCAGGGCTCCCTCCCTCCCGCCCCGTCGGTACGTACCCGCCCGGCCGGATCCCACCCTCGATCACCTGTTCCCGTTGATTGCCCGTTCAAACTTTCGTCGGAGATCGGCCGACTTCCGTCCGCGCGCGCCGACGGTACCGGTCGCCGCCCGCGCTCCGGTCCGGCGCCGGGGCACCCGAGATGCCCGCGGTGGAGTCTGTCGGGTGCTCTTCTCGGCGGCGCTAGCGACCAGTACCGCCGGCCCGTCTGTTGTTGATTGCTCGGATTGTTCACCCGATGGACGCGAGCGCGTTGGTTAATTCAAATCCGCTGCCGTACGTGCGCCGTGCAGTGGGGTTTCATGTTTGAAATTCCTCTTTGCCTTTTCCATCTCTCTGGAGATTCCTAGACGATGAGTGCCTATATATGCCTGCCTGCTTAATTAGAGGTTCTTGTTTCTAAGCACAAGATTGTGCGTGTTGGTTAACGGAAATTAAGTTGCTGCACATTTTAGCACTGCTTGTATACAACCTGCTTGGGTGGTTTCTAAGACGGCCATCGATATATATATATATGAGGTGCCGACGCTCATGTCAGCAGTACCACTAGATGTTTTAGGGATTCTTGTTTCAAGCTGACGATCTGCGTGTCGATTAATGGAAATTAACTTGTTACACACTTTAGCACTTGTAATACACTTGGTCGGAGGATCCCTATGCCGGCCTAGCGACCGTGAGTCTTCTAAGTCGACGATCGTGGGCATTGATTTAGTGGGAATTTAGGTTTTGGCTAATTGCACATTTTATTTTACAGTTGTGTCAGATATATAGTAGCAAGTCAGGTTACAAATAGCACTTACTTTTTTATGTACTGTCTACGCCACTACACAAGATGTTCTCTGTGTATAGGAATAGAAATGCGGAACACCGTAAAAAGGGAAAATACAGTATAATAGATTTTCGTAGTCTCAAAATTCAGATATGCCATCAATTGACACATATTCGTTTGTGATGAGCAGGTGTTGTTTGAGTATTAATTTGCAGGACTGATCGTCAGAGCTAGTAGCAGGGAAAGTAAATGGCGTCATCCGATGAAGCTGGCGACGACAATTATGGATACAAAAGGGGGGAGAAAGAATACATGTTGGAGACCGTGCAATGCTTGCTATTTGCTAGAGACAACCTCCCCAGCGACGTGTACCGCAAGTTCGTCAAGGCCATGACCGAGGTTTGGAAAAACTGGTATATATGTTCTGAATAAGTTGTCTCTTATCAGATGTCGATATGGTTTCCTTGTTGATCACATTCATACAATTCCCAACTGCAGTGCTGACCCGGATGGTGAAATAAGGAACATCTGCCCTGAAAACTGCATAGAGACGGCGTTGAAGCTATTTCAGGGTTGGGCTACAGTTAAACAGAGCTTCCTTAACTTCACTGAAGGCCGTAGCCCCGTCAAAGGCAATGGCATTGTCGATGCTGATGTCGAAGCCGTTGTTGTCAACCCCTTGCTACAGAAACCAATAGATTTTCTTTCCAGACTGAAGGTGCTGAAAAAAATATCTCATGGTTGCTCCTTCTGTTCGCCTGTTGATGCTAACTTGATCTTTGATTACTTAATGACTGCAGGCATGCCCTAACATGAGCGCTGATCATTATGCCGCTTTTTTGAAAATCATGCAAGATTATTTCAGGGACAGGACCATGACCCCTCGAAAAGTTTACAAGAAGGTACTTGCTAGTTCTTCAGAAACTGTATACTAAGTAATTCTTCAGTAATTTCTCTGTAGAAGATTGGAAAGACCAGGGTGTCTGATTCATAATTCCTTGTCTTCGTAGGTGAGGAGATGCATGCGTGACTGTCCTGAGTTGTTGGAAGAGTTTGTGGATAATTTTCTCCCTGCAGACCTGAAGGTACCTTTTCTCATCAAGGTGGCATCATTCAGTTTATTATGAACTCATCTGACATGATTGTCTCCTCGGTTCTCCTTTGCAGGCCTTTGTAAAGGTTAAAGCAAATGATAATCACCGCTCGGGTGGTATCCATATGAAAGAAGGTTTTTCAACCCTTCCTGCTCTGAATGCAAACAGTCCCTAGGTTCCTTGTTTCAGGATTCACCTATGATAACTAAATGCAAATATTTATCCCCTTTTCTTATTAATTACTCCCCAAAATCTTGTTTGCCGTCCACGGTTCAACCTGTTTTTCTTAAGTGCATCCTAGCTACTAACCAACACATCAGTGTCGCCATTGCCATGTCTGACCTTCGTAGATGAAATAACAATTAGCAAACTGCAGTTCTGCAGCAGGATCGGTAACTTCATATATGTATTCATCTCTGATAGGTTACGGAGAATTGTCTCACACCGAAGAGGATGAGGAAGACAAGGTTAAACCCTTGCCAGACTGGAATTCCTCAAAAGCTCAGGAATTGCCCCCAGAAGTTGATCCCAAGAAGCTCGAACGAGCTTGCACTCCTAGCTATTACCTGCTGCCAGATAATGTAAATTCCTACAAACCCATGTGTTTCCTGAAAATTACTACTGGCACTAATCCAAAACATACTCGTTCTTGATCGCAGTTAACTCTTCATTCAAGTTATTGGACCAATCTGGGGAGGTCTATTCTCAACGATACTTTGGTTTGTTCTATATCTGGGATGGAAAGCTCTAAGCACAAAACTATAAATGGTTATGAGACAAACATTTTCTACTGTGAAGAAGACATGTATGTACCCAGTGGCTAATTTGTTTTGCTCTTCGGTCTTTGTTATATTCGTTCAGCTATCAGGAAGAATGGTTTTCATAATGCCCTTTTTCTTTTTAAGGTTTGAGAGTGACATGCTATTACACCGGTTTCGTGCGACTGCTGACCTTATTGCCAATCTCCAAACTCGTGCTGGCAGCCATTTGAAGATAAGCGAGCATTTAACTCGTAAGAATGATACACTGGCCTTAATATATATTTAGAAGGATGAGCCTCTTTATTCAGTTAATAAACTTTTTTTTTCTTGTTCAAAGCTCTACACCGGAGGTGCATTGAAAAACTATATGATGATGATCTTGATCTTGATGATCTGTTGGAGAGTCCGAATACTAGTTCTGTTCTTGCTGTTCTACTTTCTCGTTTAAAGCAGAAGGTAGAAGATTTATCGGAGGCGCGCTCATATTTGCATAAGGCGCACTCACAAGTTATTGCCAAAAATTACTACAGATCGCTTGATCATCGTGGCCTCTCTTTCAAACAATTGGATGCAAAGAGGATGAGCCAAAAAGGTATTTTTCAACTTTCTCCCTGTCCCATAATTTAAATAGTAGTATTAGGCACTGCTGGACCTAGATCCTGCATTGAGCCATGTACTCAACAAAGTCTTCCCATTTTTTTTGTTCTGAGTCATTTTCATACATGTCTCCCTTTCAGCATTGCTGGCGGAAGCAAATGAGATCAATAAAAAGAATTTGAAAGCTAGAGATAAAAATGCTGATACAGACATGTCGAATGCTGGAGATAAATATGCTGCTGATACAGCCATGTCAAATGCTGGAGATAAATATGCTGATACAGACACGTCGAATGCTGGAGATAAATATGCTGATACAGACATGCACAAGGACATAAGCAGTATACTATCCGCTGCATGTGCCTCTGAAGAGAAGCAGGTGATGAATTGGGCGAAAATAGTACATCCATTTCTTTCTGCTCATTGTCTATGGCCTTCATCTAAGGAAACTGTAGCTCCCGCAAAAGCTTGTGAACATTGCCGCACCAGCAAAGATTTTCTCAGTAGCATACCTGATGCTTTGCCTGCTACTAAGCTTTCTTCATCTTCCAAGGTATTTCATTCTGTATTTCTGATTCTCTTGTTCCAAAAATAATAATCTCTAACTTTGAAGAAATTGCTCAGTATCCAAGGTCGAGTAAAACTAACTTGCATGCTGACGATTTTCATTTCAGAGGGGGGAATTCCTAAAGAAAAATTCTAACGACTTGAGCTCTTCACACGATGGTTTTGGCCAAGACATTGATCAGGAGAGTGATTTAATGCCCGAACCAGAAATCATTGAGTCGGATGTCATGCTTGGTGCCAGAAAAGAACCAGTAAGTTGTGATGTTGGCACTTCCGGTATAGATGGGTTGAGCTCTGGTTGTCGTATAATCGATACTGCTGAACCTAGTACTCGTGACCATGGAAACAAACATGAGAAGCAGCATGAATCAAGTCAACACTCCAAAACATCAGCTAAACTGCGTGGTGTGAAAGGAGGCACTTGTTGTTTTCTCATTGTGCTTCGCAGGCTTTACCAGGTGTTCATCTTGAGCTCTCTGCTTTTGTTTTAGAAGTTGTTTGTTGGAACTCAACAGACCTTAGTTTTCTTTTGCACCTATTGCGATATGTTTTTCCAAAAGAAGTTCATTTATTTTTCCTTGTATGGCAGATTTTATATGACAGACTACAAACTGCGAGAGGTTTATGCGCCGATGATCTATTATATGCAGAGTAACGTCCATGATGCTTACTTGTTCACGATCTAAGCAAAATTGCTCATTTTCTCACCATGTAAGAGTTTGTTTTAAAATCACAACTTCTTCATTGAATGTTGCAGGTTTAAGGATAAAATAATCAAGCTACATGCCCATTGTATTGATAATTCCAGTTTTGAAGACTTCTGCCTGCAATTTCTTGGGCCAAAGTCAGTTGAACTTTTTACTCTGGATATAGTGATAAACCGAGTTATCAAGCAGGTAATCTAAATCTAGTATGAGATAATGACCGTGAATTCTGACCTACTTATCTTTCTTTTGTGGATCATTGTAAATCTGTTTAGTTGACACTGGAAAAAGTATCCGAAAATGGATAAGCAGTGTCAACCATTCGTCTCAGATACTTGGGCATGCATAATTGATAATCCTGCTATTTTGGCTTACTTGCAGTTGTGCATAATTTATTCAAGAGATCAAGACAACTCGCTCTTTCAATTCCTTGAGAACTTTGGAAGACCAGTTCTACCCAAACTTGTGTCCCGGCATCAAAACGTAATCCTGTGATCATTGTTCCATTTTGTTTCTAACCCCGCCTCATGTTGCATGTTAGATGCTGTTTCAGCGTGAAGTGCATTTTAGTTCTGTTTCATACTATTACTGATGCATGTGTTTTATGCCTTGTTCAGTTTCCCAACAATCCATCAAATGTTTTACCGAAGTATGATCAAGAGGAGCAAGAGAAAGCTCTTGCCGATACCGAAAAACTTCCGCGCCATTTTGAGAGAAGGTAGTGATTCCCTAAAATGGACAATATATAAATCATACGCACTGTTTTTAGCTTGTTTTCAGTATTCTAACAAATGCATATTTTTTCTAGGAAAAAACGCAAGTTGGAGAACAGTGCAACGATTTCCTCAGCTTGGAGTTCCTCCCAGCTTGGAGCAGTGACTGAAACTCATGGTTGAATGTTATACCTTGGTGTATTCTACATGCTAGATGTGATTATTCGAAATATTGTTACAACTAAATAGAGAAATATAATTTTGTTTGTTACAAGGAACTACTCTGATCCCATGAATTTAGTTAGAAAACAAAAGTCATAATGTGCGTTGGTAAGCGCAGATAACTATTCTGTTCTAATCGCATGCAATTGATGTTATTTTTGTGAAAAAAATAGTATGCAGTTCAATTCTATTCTTTTTGCATAATGCATTTGAAACTTCTAATCCATTGTATGCCTCCTACCCTCCTTTTATATTGTCATTTTACCAGCGATGCTTGTTACTTGTTTTCAGTTGTTCTTTTTTTTGTTTTTTATCTGATGTATCTTACTTATTTTCTGTTTGAATTTGTAGGCTGTTATTCGTTTTAACTGTAATGATATATAAAGAAAATGGAAATTGAAATTGTGAATAGGTTATTTTTGAGTTCTCGCTTATTCTCACCATTATGGAAAATTTAGGATAAAATTTGCAAAGAGATCACCAAGTTATTAGATACATTATTACTGTATATATAAATACAGTTTTCAACCTAACGATGTCATGGTCACTGCCTCACTGGGTATAGTCAGGGAGGGGTTTCTTGATCTTGAACCATCATGAACTTCCCTTCAGAGTTCATCTCGTTGAAGTTCTTGTCTTCTTGACCATGAGTCCAAGTTCGCATTAATAACACATGAAGTCTAACCAAATGGTTGGATGGGGACTTGAGCTAGACATCTGCAGTGGATTAGATAATGTTGAGACATATACAGGTAACAAAAAAAAACATTGGATGATGTGGCTTCTTGAGAGTGCGTGCAAAAAATAGTTAATGATTATTTGTCGTAGGTTTCATGCGCATGAAGAGTTAGTAGTAGAAGCATGCGCATGAATAGTTAGTAGGAAATTATTTTTATATGGTGGACCTACCGGATGATGTGATAGACTGCATGTCAAGATAAATAAGATAGTGGAGATGAATCTCTTTGATATATATAGGATGCCTTTTTGTGCAGTTACCATTCAGTCAAAAGGCTTTAACCGTCTACGAGACGTTTTATGGATGTTTGTATCCCTCCCTATTTTGTTGGGTTGTTGCTGACATGTCCCTTATAAGTGGGAACCACCTTGGAAAGAAAAGAAAGAAAAAAAAACTATCTCCCACCCCTGTCCATGTATCACTTACACGTGGACCCTAACAAAGAAAAAGAAAAAGAATTATCGCCCCTCCCCGTCTCTCTCTCACCAATAGCAGTCTTGGTGGAATGAGGTGTAGGGGTTGTTTGGATAGGTGGTTTGTAGAAAATCCGTTCTATATAAACTAGGAAAACGGCCTAACAACCTAAAACCACGTTTGGCTAGCCTAACTAATCTATGGATATGGAAAACCGAATTTGCTAAAACCCAGAATTTCGCGTTTGTGAAAAAACGACTATTAGTCGTTTTTGTAAAAACTCGATTTGCGTATCCTCGTTCCTCTCTGTTGCTGATCCTGGCGGGTCCGTTCCTAAGCAAAGACCGGCCATTTCCATGTCCTTGACTACATATCGCCGGCCTGCTCGAGTGACAGTGAGACGACGCCGGCTGTGATGGGCTCGCCGGTGAGTCGTACCACGTGGTCATACGTCCTCGTCTGGCCGCTGTGCCACGGCCGCCGCGTCCTCCGTGTCATCCGTTCTGGTCGTCGTTGCCGCTGTCGAGGTCAGCTCGTTGAGCGTTCGCGGCGAGCCGTCGGCACACGACAACAAAGCATGAGGAGTCATATATGGCTGCAGCTTGGCGTCGACCAATGGGTTTGCACCCACATCATCCAACGGCCATGAACGTCGACGTGCACACAGTGTGAACGAACATGGATCCGAGGAGGCTTTTGCCATGAACCCTCATGTCTCTTTCGCGTATATACGTCTATGTTTCGTACATTTTGCAGACATTTTGCAGCCGGCGGATCGAATCGTTCCAGATGCTTGCCCATGGCACCAAGCTTCTACGTGTGCGCGTACGCGGCCGTCCGACGAGATCAACCACCCAGCTCCATTACCTGCGTTCCATCGACGGAAAGGCGAGATCACGGGAGAATGGGGAACTCTTTTCAACCAAACGTGGTCTTCTATAAACTGAGTATTAACAAAAAAGTTTGTAAAACTGGTTTTTCCTAAAAATCAGGTAAAAACTCGTTTTCTATAAACTCAATGCTAACATTTGTTATCCAAACAACCACGTAGTGTGGCACTGCATTCTTTCTCCACGTGACGTCGACATCGCGCACATTCATTTCAGATTGCTTGTAGTCTCGCCGCTTGTCAGCGTGTGAGTGGTCTCGTGTGCGTGGGCAGCGAGCAGAAGTGGCTGATCCCTTCTCCAGGGCTAGTAGGCTGGTGGCCTGCTGCCGTGCTGCCCATAAGCCTATTGGTCACATAGGCATGTACGCTAGTATTTCTGCCATATAACTATACATAGTAGTATATGAACCTTTTCTGCAGAAATGATCCAAGCTGGATCCGCCCCTGCACTGCAGAGTCTGACGCTCGGTCACCCCGACCCGACCCGACCCCAACCAAACCCCAAACCCCAACCCCACCCCCACCCCGCGGCGCGCTCAAACCCCCTCTTTCTCCCTCCCTCGCCCGGCGCCCCATTCCCTCGGCCGCGTCCTC